AGGATAGACCTTCAGAATTGAATAGAATATTAAAGGGAGATCAGTAGGCATTGGAATTAAGAGCTCAGGAGTTTTAATTAGACTGTTCTAAATCCTTAACCTCTTCCAACTGTTTAACCTTGAGTAGGTTAGTGATCCTCTCTGAGCTCAATTTTCTTATTTGTAAAATCAGAAAAATAATCCCAGCCTCCTAAGGATTATAAGATAATGCATAAATATCAGAGTATAATAATATAATAAATATATAAGCATAATAATTTTCTAATAAATAATATGTATAATAAGTATGAACATGCATGCGGCTCAATGAATGATAACGGGTTATAATTATCGAACTCAAGAACGGTGACCTCCAATATCCCAGTTCATGCTTAAGGAAGAGAAAATTCAAGCTGAAGTAGAAAAATAGAAATAACAAATACTTGAGGCTCTGTCACACTTGGTATTTTAAAATGTCATCAAGGGCACCTGGGTGGCACGGCCTATTAAGTGTCCTTTTGGTTTCCGCTCAGGTTGTGATCTCAGGATCATGGAACTGAGCCCCACATCAGGCCCCTTGCTCAGTGTGGAGCCTGCTTAAGACTCTCTCTCCCTCCCTGGGTGTCTGGGTGCTTCAGTCAGGCATTCAACTCTTGATTTCTGCTCAGGTCATGATCTCAGGGTCATGGGATTAGGCCCCCCATCAGGCTCTGTGCTCAGCAGGGACTCTGCTTGAGAGTCTCCCTCTCCCTCTCCCTCTGCCCCTCCCTCCACTCATGCTCACTCTCAAATAAATAAATACATCTTTTAAAAAATTGTTTTAAAAAATAAAATATCTTACCAATGATATAAACTGTTTTTAAATGCATCTAAAAATGTTATTCGAGCAAAGATTACCAAAACCTCAGGGAGGGAAATAAGTGTCAAAGTGACCTTGAAAAATGTGACTGGAGGAGGACATGTTTGCTAAAATCTGGAGGAAAATCAAGAGATATCTGGGCAATGTGGTATTGTTCAGGATAACAGCCAGATTTGGTTATTACTGGCCCAGTGGAAAATGAACACACACCCATAGTAGGGTACATCTACTACAGTGGGAAGAAGCCTGAGCCAAACAAGGAAGCCTGGGGCTGGTCCAACCCTATGTTAACTCTGGTATGACTCTGGACAGGTCCCTTCTCCTATGGAAATGATTTTAATGTTCTAATGTATAAGTGCTGGATGAACAAGTTTTTAAGTCATTTAGTTCTTCATAGCAGTCCCCTCAAGTCATGATCTCACAGTCATGGGATCCCACATTGGGCTTCGAGCTCCACGTGAAGTCAGTATGGAACTCTCTCCCTGTCCCTCTGCCCCTCCTCCCCACACACTTTCTCTCTCTTTCTTTCTCTCTCTCATAAATAAAAAATCTTTAAAAAATAAAAAATAAAATAAAAATAAATTTATTTATAAAAATATATAACATATAGAAATATATATAAATAAAATAAATATAAATATAAATATTAAAATTAAAATAATCAAATTTCTTATAAATAAATAAATCTTTAAAAATAAAAGAACAAGCTATACAAATAGAAAACAGGTGAAAAAAGCAAACTTCCATTTTATGCAAAAAGAAACAATCAACAAACATTAAAAAGATGCTTAACTTTATAATTATAAAAAGGCAAAATTCAAAAATAATATTGTCTATCTATCACAATGGCAAATGTAAGAATTTGGAGTATATGCAAACTCTATAAGACTGTGAGGAAAGTCAGTCATATTTTATTTGTGGGAGTATAAATTTTTGGAGACAACTTGACAATAGCATCACAGTTTAACACTCATACCCTTTATCCAACAATTTGTTGTTACATGGTATTTACTGTAGCATAGTTTATCATAGTGGAATACTAGAACAACGTAAGGGTCCATCAACTCTGCACTGATAAAATAAATTTATATTGAATCATAGAGAACACTTCACAGCTATCAAAAGGGATACGATAGCCAATAGGAATATGTGAGTGAAGAAAATTCTTTCGGGGAGCCTGGGTGGCTCAGTGGGTTAAGCATCTGCCTTCAGCCCAGGTCATGGTCCCAGGATTCTGGGATCGAGTCCTACATGAGGCTCCCTGCTGGGCAGGGAGCCTGCTTCTCCCTCTGACTGCTTGTGCTCTCGCTCTCTCTCTCTCTCTCTGACAAATGAATAAATAAAATCTTTAAAAAGTTTGGGGGGGGGCGCCTGGGTGGCTCAGTGGGTTAAGCATCTGCCTTCGGCTCAGGTCATGATATCAGGGTCCTGGGATCGAGCTCCACATTGGGCTCTCTGCTCAGCAGGGAGCCTGCTTCCCCCTCTCTCTCTCTCTGCCTGCCTCTCTGCCTACTTTTGATCTCTCTCTCTGTCAAATGAATAAATAAAATCTTTAAAAAAAAAAGGAAAATTCTTTAAGATCTATTATTAAGTGGAAAAAATAAAGGCATAAAACTATGTGTAAAATACCTTATTTGTATACAATTTTTAAATTATGACTTGATAAACCTGCTTATATTCATAACAAAAAAATTGGCAGTATATACAAAGAACTCTTAGAATAATAAGAGTTAGGGGGACCATTTTATTTTTGTGCCTTTTGTATTGCTTTAATTTTCATGTGTGTTCATTATGTACATATGTTAGTTTTATTTTTTATATCAATACATTATTTGAGCAAGGAGATTCTGGCCTTTTTCTTTTTGCTTTCTCCTTTATTAGTTTCTGTTTGCTTAGTGAATAAATAATCATGTTAAAAATGTGCAAGGGAAATTGAAAGAAATAAATAATGCCTGTTACCTTTGACTTAGAAAGTATCTTTCCAGGGAATTTACCCTTCAGAAATACCTCCATAATTGCTCGTAGTAGCCAAAATCTGGACACAATCTTAGAACTTAACAATGGTGAGGATCCTTTTGAAAAAAATGCTGGTGGATTACTGGACTCTTGTTAAGAAGGTAAAGTGGTATGAGCTGATTGTCCAAGATATATTGTTAAATGAACAGCGAAACAGAAACAGGTTATAGAATTTTATATATATATATATATATATATATATATACACACATCACATATATTATATATATTATATACATATTTATATATATATCATCACATTTTTAGTTAAGTGAGTAGGATCATATATATATGTATGTGAGTAGGATCATATATATATATGATCCTACTCACTTAACTAAAAATGTGATGATATATTAAAATATGTAAAAAAAGAAGCAGAAATAGAGAAAGTTGTGTGCGTGCATATGCAGATAGTAGATTTCTAGAAAGTATACACAAAAAACTAAGGGAAGATGATGAGGGGATTTTTTTACTTTTCCTTAGATACCTTTCTGAAACAGAATTCATTTACCACGATCATGTATTATTTTTTAATAGGAAGTTAACCCTAATTATTTGACAAGACAAGAGGTTATTTGGCCCACGAAGTTTGTGCGTTCAATTTCCTGTAGGCAAGAGCCTACATCTTATTACTTTTCCTGTCTCTTCCGGCTGTCTGAGTCATACTCTGACTCATCCGTGCCTAGACAGTCTCTGAAATGACTGTCATCTACTAACAAGTAAATCCAGAATTGTATAGTTCAAAGGGGTTTTAGACTCCTCACAATCGCTTCCCTCCAAGGCAGAAGAGTGTTGAGTCTCAGGAGGTGAAAGGACGGTTGCTCCACTGGTGAGCGGCACAGTCAGGCCACGCCCAGCTCACTGGACCTCTCCATGTTACCATGTCATTCATGCTCTCAGTAAGGAGCTCACCAAAATAGAAAGCAGGGAAGAGGCAGGGACAATTATAAAAGTCGACAAGGAAACTTTCACAAAGCTATTATGGGAGATCTAGGATATGGAACTAAAGATTACAGACAACCCAGGCCCGATAGGGAAACAGAAGCAATTCACCATCCACCACCCAGTGTCATTGTCAAAGAGATGAGACGCAAAATAAGATTTTATATTTTACATGCAACTAGTCAGGGTTTTTTTTTTTTTTTTTCCCATGGATGGTAGCCAACCTCTCTATGAATAAAAGGAAACAGAATTGTGGCATCAACTGCAAAAAACTCTATGTAGGTTAGAAAAGCTGGACTTACTGTGTGTTCAGTTGAAGCAGAGAAGCTTCTTAGGGACCTGCCTTGCTCACCTTTGTTCTCCTCCCCTGGTCCCTTTCCTGGGGCAGAAACAGAGCCCTGATGTTGGAGGCACTCAGTAATTATATTATGTTGACTTAGACTGAGTTGATTTGAGAAAGATTTTAGTTTTTACTTCTCATTAAATTTGACATCAGAATGATTTTTCCCTCTTGGCGGGGTTTTGTGCTTGTTTTTTAGATGTTCTATTTCTCTTTTGGCATTGGCCCCAAAATGGGAGTTAGCAACAGCAACATAAACTCCAGCCATCCTTTATTTCATTTTGTCAGAATTCATTCTGGAATTGTACATGAGAAATGGGGCAGTCGAGTTTATTTTGGAACAAGGCTCAGGGCTGTCTAACCAAGCTTGGGATGACAAGACCAGGCATCTGACCAAAAAGAGGGATTTGGCAGGTAGCCAGCCCCATTTCATACAGTCTACGCAGAACCTCATCTGAATATATTAATCTGTCAGCACATACTCGTCAATGTACATTACATGTGTCTCTCCTTATTATCCTGTTTTTCCTCTAATTTTGAAGGCTCATATCCATCCCAGAAATCTAGGAAAGTCACAGAGGCATATTAAATGCACACACTAAAATTCTTGTAAACATGCATAGACAAAGTTTCAACCTAGTCAGACATGCTATAAATGCCACAAGATGAAATTTCATGTCTCTGCTAACTAAAAGTTGTCAAGAGCCTGAAACTTGCTATGTAACACTCAAATGCCTTGGTAGGACGGGAGGGGTTTTGAGGCAGGTGACATAATCTTAGCTTCTCAGTGGAGAAACATTTTTCTTCTATCAGAATAATCTGCCTTATGAAATACCAAAATTCTCTGGCTTCCTCCTCCAGGTGAATGGCATTGACCTCCGTGGAGCATCTCACGAGCAGGCTGCTGCTGCCCTGAAAGGGGCTGGACAGACGGTGACCATTATAGCACAATACCAACCTGAAGGTCAGTGAGAACCCACCCTTACCAAGTTCCACTGTGTTTCTTTGTGAATATATACCCACCTTTCTGATCACCTGTATTAACCAGTCTCCACCAACAAGACTTTTTTTTTTTAAACTTACTTATCCTGAAAAATAGGTGCTCCATGTCCAAAGAACATGAGGCTTTGTTACTCTTAACCTTCCAAAGAAAACATCAGAAAAAGTCCTGTTTGAAATATGAATTCAAAACAAACAAAATCCAAAAAACCTAGCATCAACTTTATTATTCATGTTTTTATCTGGTACACACCTGTGGTCAGCAATGAATATTGTAAAAAGAATTAAGGTGAACTAAAAATCAAATTGACATGAGACAGATTAACAAGCAAAAAACCAGATTTAATAGCATACGTATGGGGAAATCCACATAGACAGGCAAAATAAGGTAGATATGTCATCCTGAGCTAAGATGTGGGCAGGGGTCTGGGACTTCAGAGGACAGAAGTCCATTTCACAGGGCCATAAGAAGAACAGATGTTTGGTAATTAGATATTTGCCCTGCCATACAAATGGGTCACTCGATAAAATTTACCTCTGCTAATAACCCTTGTTCTGGGAAACACCCCCAACTGAGATTCTTTTATGTATTTATGGGAGGGGCAAAAGTTTCTCTTGACCATGGAGGGTCCAGATTGCCTTCAGGTCAAAATCCACAGGCCAAAGTGGCACACTGAGTGGGGGAGGGTGGTTGGTCTGGAATCCCTTCAGAAGCAAGGGGAGAGAGAAACAGACCATGATCAGCGGACCATATTCTCTCTTCGTGGCATGAACTCTTACTAACGCTAACATGATTTTTGGTTGTCCCTGGTGTGGGTTTGTTTTGTTTTGTTTTGATTTTGGCTTTTTCTGCTATAGTATTGCTTGTTTGTAACATGCTACTGTAAACCCTGAAACTTGGTGAGGCGTCGTCAATTGGATTAGCCAACTGAAACTTGATGAGATATCCTGAATTGCATTAGCCATACCCTGCTCTTTGGTTTGTTTCAACATGTATCTGTGATCAGAATGATTCTCAGGGAGACCACCTAGAAGTGACCTATTGTGTGTTTGATTTTTCAGCAAATTTGTATATAGATTACTCCTTTTGTTAATGAAATATAGTTAAGCACCCACTGTGGGCTGACTTTACAAAAAAGTCAGTGGTGTGGTTTCCTGTCTTCAAGAAATGTAGTTAATTACCCTTGGTCCACAAGGCTAGTAGAAAGGACTATTAAACAGATAAACATGAAAGTACAAGATGCCATTAAGGAAGAGCCTTTTTGCGTGGGGGTATAAAGAGCTTCTTTGACCTTTTAAAGTGATTCTTTCTTAATGTCAGTTGGTCTCTTCTTTGGAAGACAGAGGTTTGTGTCTCGCCTGTGATGTCTTAGATTTTACCATAATGGTAACCAACCACATATTTCACGTGAATATAAAGAAAACATTCTGCCATGTGTTTTTTGGAATGTTACATTTATTTTGCCTGAATTTAGAATTAGAATTTGCAATTAAGTTATTAAAAAACATGTACTAAATGCTTTCTCCTATTGGCCTCGCCCAGATATGGCCAGAGAGCTGGGGAAGAAGGGATTTGTGATTGTCACGGATGGGTGATGACAGGACCGGGAGAAAATGTTCTACCCAGACAGTTTTGAAAGTCTTTCTACTTCTTAAAGATTAGTAGAAATGTCTTCTACTAGGAATAAATTGGCTCCAGAAGGATCCATTGTAAAACAGAAAATAACGCCATTTGGGTTAACATAATTTGAGGAGCAAATTCTACTTCAAATAGAGTAAGAACTTTCCTGCGGAATTTTTCCATTTTCTTTACAGCAGTGTTCGTTCACTCTCAAACCGTATGCCCTTCACCATAACCTGGCACATGGCATGAATATTCCAGGCTGTTTTCCCATTTCTCAAGAGTTTCCTCTCCAACATCAATTATACCAATTAGAAGCCATTGATAGTAAAGATAGCCATTCAAATGACCTTGAACAGAGTGATTTTGAAACTTTAAGGGTTACAGTAAAGGACAAGCATGTCAGTTCTATCAACATAAATCTTCATCTTAAGCTTCCTTACTGCGTTTGCTTCCTTTAAGCAATGTACTTAATTTGAATACTTTGCTGTACTTTGTGAGGATGCCTATTCAAAGCAAGCATGTCTTATAAAGCATAAATAGATTTTGTAAGTGCTTCTGAAGAAATTTGTAAATAAAAATGATAAGCTTGGGGTGCCTGAGTGGCTCAGTGGGTTAAAGCCTCCGCCTTCGGCACAGGTCATGATCCCAGGGTCCTGGAATCAAGCCCCACATTGGGTTCTCTGCTCAGCAGGGAGCCTGCTTCCTCCTCTCTCTCTGCCTCTCTGCCTACTTGTGATCTCTGTCTGTCAAATAAATAAATAAAATCTTAAAAAAAAAAAACAAACAATAAGCTTATTTCAAAATGCCAAAGTACAGATAGGATTCACAGAATTCCCTATTTTAATAAGTCTAACGGTATTCTCATTTGTCACAGCTTTAAATCAGTTGGAAATGTGGTAATGTAACATCAAGCAATCCTCTTTCCCCCTTTGTAAGTTTAATGTGTAACTGAGCTTTAATTTAACTATTGTTTGAAATGGAAAACTAATTAATCTTGTTTAGACCATTTAGGGACATTTAAATTATACAACACTTTTAGGAAATAATGAACAATTTACCTTTAAGATAACAAGTGAAAAGAAGAATATGCCACAGAGTTCATTAGGAAATTCTTACCAGATCTCCTTCATTTGCACTAGTATTGTGAGGTGTCCAAGCTAAGACAAATTTTATTGACTTCTCTTTTGGTATGGTCAGGAACCAGACTTTCTTTCAGTAACTTTTTCATTTACATTCAAATGCTTTTATCAGGAATGTACTAGATTCCTTCCTCGGTATTATTAAATATTCAGGAAATTTGGCCCTTACCCCCAGCCCAAGTCATTTTCTTTTAAGTAATGTTTGTTTGTTTTTTTTTAATCTTACTGAGATTAAAGGACTTAGCTACTTTTAAGAGATCGTTTTCTGATGATGTAGGACCAAAATTGTATAATAATGACACCAACCCTGAGAACTGTGGAATGTCAGAGAAGGGATAAACCTGCAGGAGTCAAAACAGTATAAGAGTACTTTGTGGAAATGGGGAAATGGAGCCAGACTTTGAAAAATAGGTGGGATTTCTATTCTGAAAAGCGGAGAGAAAAAATATCTTGCTAAACTAAATAAGATTTTGAACTCTATGTGTGCAGGCACAAAACCTATATTTTGTTCACTTTTATTTTGTTCATTTTTAGTGTTATACATATTATGGTATTTCTTAAAGAGTTGCTGAACTAGCAAATAATACTTACCATTCTTTAGCACTTGAGTTTCCACCTGAAAATAATTGAAGATTGGAGGGATGATTCAGTTTTACAACTTGCATTTTTTCATTTTTGCTTCAAAGCAGAAAATAAGTGCTAAACAAGTATGTATTGCAAAATATAAAACAGTTTCCAACTGTGTTTTTCATAAGACTTAGCTCATTTTTTGAATAATTATAAATAATTTATAATTATCATAATATAACAATAAATGTCTTCCTTGGCAAGTTTCACTGTGCCAAGTAAGACCAAAGTTCTTATACTTCTGCTTAAAATGATCGTGCTCCCAGTTGTCTAAATTACTCTAGCCATCACTAAATTTTATTCAGTGTCTAGTTCTAAGTAGTAGAATTAAACCCACATTTGAAGAGTCACATGCAAACCGTGTTTCTTTCTGGTGGTATGATTGTAATTCATTTATACCATCTTTTTTTTAAATCTACTTTCTGTCACATGTTTACTTGGAAACTAATATGTATTATTTTGATATTAGGAAGTAAATAATGAAGTTATTTTCTTTATTTCTTTTTTTAAGAGGATCATGTATCTGATACTTAAGGAATAATTCTACTTAAGCAATATAGGAAGTTAATTCTTCTAAACTCCAATTACCTATGTTCAGTTAGTGAAGTTACCCCAACACCACTTCAGAAAAGGAACCATAATGCCTGCCCAACACATGCATACACTCTTCCCTGTCCCTTTCCAGCCGTCTTCCCCATTGCTGTCAGAATTATTGTTCTCTAGGATATGACCCCAAGGTACCTGTGCACAAACTCCATGCCCTTCACAATATGGTCCCAGCCAAACTCTATGCTCCCTCCTTACTCCCTGCACCATCATCACCCACCACCATCATCATTTTTTACTCTCCCATGCTACACAGGACTGCTTTCTGTTCCTCAACACTTGGTCCTTAGCAGTCATGTTTCTGGACCTTTGCTCATGTGGGTTCCTCTCCCTGGAATTCCCTTTCCACCCTTTCTATCCCTACTCAGTTTGAGGGCCTGCAGACGTCAATTCCACTATGAAGTCATCTTTTATCTCTAAGTTAATGTTGATTGATTCTTTCTCTGAGCTCTCTAGACCTATATTCAGATAGTTTGTGTGTCCCTTAGCATGATTTGGACATTTCCCCACTCAAGTAAGCTTCTAGAGGGCAAGAACCCACTTATCGTTCATTTTATGTCCTGAGAGAATTTGCACAATATGAATTTGACTATGCTTTATTAAAGAGTTATTGAATGGGTCTTTATTTGCTTTAGAAGCACAATAAAATATCTTCAGTGTGTTGGCAAATAATTAATAGTAAGTGTTTAAGAAATATTTGCTGGATGAATATTGAATGAATTGCCTGGGGTTCTGATATTAGATGCAGAAAATGGTAAATTTGTCTGTTCCCAAATTGGACATCCAGTGTTGATGCAGTTTTTAGGTAGTGCCTTTTTTTTTCTTACAAAGAAATGATCCTAGTGGATAAACATCCTTTCTCCTGCACTGAGGAATATCTACAGCTATTGTTCTGTAATATAACACAAAGAAAAGATGATTAAAGCTCTAAGATTTTCTAAAGTTCTAAAACTCAACTTTAACACCACT